ATAATAGAGCAATGGCTAATAGGTAGAAGTTTGGCTAGTCCACATGAGTTGGGTGACAGTGGGCAGATATTCCACCTCTCTCTGCCTCTGTTTTCTCATCTGTAAAATGGAAGTTGTGCTAGATCTTACCTGATTCGGATGTTGTGAGAATGAAGTGAAAAAAATATAGTTCATGAACTTAGAGCAGTGCCTCCAGCCTGAAGGAGGTCAACACTCTTACCCGGGGCAGGTCTGCTTTGGGGGCAACTGGTCATTTGTTCCATGGACAATAAAATGACACTCTTCCCTGCTGTATAGAGTTAAACAAGAAAAGAAATGTGTATACATGTGAAAATCTCCTGTATGCTTTTAACATTGTGAGAAGTTAGGATTTGTGGAAAATCTCTGAGTTTCTTCAACCCCCTTTGCAGGTGTATCTAAGACTAGAGGTAAGTTGGGGAGGAGTCTGAAAAGCCACTGAATTACTTTTGTTTCAGAGCTTAATTCTGCCCCAAACTAACTCGTTGCTCTCAATTATCCTGATGTACCAGTGCTGTGCTGCCTTCTTCACTTCCACTAGTTTTTAAATAATTCGCCTTCTCTGCACCCTAATTCCCTATTTTCCATTTCTTTTCTTCCCTTTTCTCCCCATTATTTAAGTATATATTTTTATTTTGAGGCTAGAATTCAGGGTATGATGCAAATGACCTGGTTTAGTAGTGGGTGTCAGACAGGAAAGGGTCACTGGAGCAGGGCACAGACCGGCTCTCCTCCTTACTCTAAGCATTGCATAAAGTCTTTGAATTTTCTTCAAAGAAATTGAATTTTCTTCAAGAAATAGGAGGTAATATTTAAATCTTCAGTTTATAATAAAAAGCCTAGGGGTACAGAAAGCTACTTCATATCACAGTGTAAGAAATCATTCCTGCCTCTTTCATACTCCCTACACACTAATTGTGCTCATCTGACATTGATAACAAGATGCCTTGTACTTTGTATACTTGTAATGTGCTTTGCACACATTCAAAGAGCATCTGTTAGCCTCTTTTGGAACACTGAAATGATTATACACATATGTAATAATTAGTTGTATTATTTATCATCTCTGAAGGTAAAGAAACCATTCTTTCATTCTCTCATTAATTAATCCATTTATTAGATTAGCATTAGTTACTTACTAGTGCCCAGTACTATTTCGAGGCCATGAAAGGCATATGAAGAAAAGTAAGTTATGGTCATTAAGAGGCACTGATAGAAGGCAGTTATAGATAAGATAGCATTGGGATTAGGTAATTAATTTTACAACATCACATATAGTTGGCCAGCATAGATGTTAAATTGTGAAAGAATAACTGGCTGCCTGTGGAATATTGTATATATCTATGAATTTATGTTTGTTATGGTAAGCTCTTTGTAGATATACCTAAGTAATATGTCAAGGAATACCTCATCAACCTTTCTCTGAATTTTAGGTATATCTCAGCTTGGTTTGTATAAAAAAGGAAGAAACATTTCACCAATTAGACAAGATTGAGAGATATTGTATGGAATAAAATATTTACAGCTTTGACTTTAGAAAGGAAAAGAGGTATGATGTTGTGAATGTGATAGGTGTAAATAACAATTTTTTAATAAAAATTATATCACTGATGTGTATGTGAGGCAAAGAGTCTGGGCTGAACATACTTGTGACAAATTAGTAGAAAAATCAGCTTAAGTTTTCTTAATATATCACACACTGATAACATAATGTGAAATTTGCTGCATTCCACTATTTGTACTACTCACACAGGAAAGGAAAATGGAAATTTTCCATTTTACACATTTAGTTCCCCCTCTTAAAGTTGGCAAACACTAACTTTTTCCGCTGCATTTCTACGTAACTGGACTCTTGCCAGCTTGTGTGTGTGTGTGTGTGTATGTGTATGCGTATGCGTCTGTGTTTTAATAGCTAGGCATACTATCACTGGTGCTATTAGCTCAATTTCTCTGCATTTTGGGGTTCAAACTTGTTTCTTTTCATGGACACTTTATGGGAGTAGGAATCTGATCATAGTTCTTTGCAAGTTTGTAAGTAGTTTACTGTCAGAGCACTCAAAGTGACTCAAATAACAGTTCTGAAGTTTTCCTGTTAGGATGTTCCTTCTGGAGGGTTTCATTGCTATGAGACTGTGGATGTTTCTATTTTGTACTCTAGCTTTGAGTGAGCTGCTTGCTATGCAGGACTTATGCCTTCTGTGCCCCTTCTGATGCTGATTCTTCTACTTGAAATGGTCTCCTCTGCTTATCAGTTCTCTACTCATTCTTTGAAGTCCAGCTCAAACAGCCAGGCTACCATGTCATATTGCAGGAAATTATTCGTGCCTCCTCCACACTCCCTACAAACTTCACTGTGCTCATCCAACATTGATCACAAGATGCTTTGCACTTTATACACCTGCAATATGTTTTATACACATTCAAAGGGCATGCACAATTATTTTGTAGTACAGTAATGTTGATTGAACTTGGGGCTTCTAAACTGGCATATCTGGCTCTGTCTCTGACTCTCTTTAACTGTTTACTGAGCTTCAACTTCTTGGCTTCTAAATAGGAGATTATCCATATCCACCTAATACAATTGTTTTGAGGATTAGACAAGGTAATATATGGAGAGAGTCCTCATTTCTTGAGGGTTTGCTATAACTGAGACACTGGGCAAAAAGTTTTCCATAATATCCTCACATGTAGAATGCATACACGTGTTAATTCCTTTAGTCCCAATACTTGGACAGAGTATGTACTCACTGAATATTTCTCAAATGAATGAGAACTGGACTGGAGTTGGCAGCAGGGGCCTGTCTGCTGAGTCAGCTGCTCTGAGTCAGCGGTTGAGGCACATACAACACAGGTCTCTAGAGAGGGAAGATACAGACTGGGCTGCAGTTCCCACCTATCTGGCTGAAGGGCTGCCAGAGTATGATTCCTAAGCACAATGGAGAGCTCATGGGTAGGGGAGAGTATCATTTCCGAACTACATGATTTCCTTTCTCACTGTCTCTCATTACCACCCTCCCTCACCCCTGCTGACCAATTCAGCCCAGAAGAGGTACAGATCTCATTCTGAGTCACTCCAGGGTTGTATTGGTACAACAACAACTGCATTTTTACTATAACCCATGGAATATAAGAACATTGCAGATCTACATTCTTGGCCAGAAAAGAAAAGAAAAGAAAAGAAAAGAATCCAACCAAAGCACTACACCTCTTTAGTGGTAAATATTTTAGGAATGTTAGATGTTCATGAAAATCACACCTAAATAAAATGACATTCCCACTCTTGGGCTCTTATAAATGAAGAGATTTTGGGGATCTCCAGGTCAATGACTCATAACTTTCCCAGTGTTTTTTTCCATGAGCCATTGATTAAAGTTGGGTGTAGCACTATATATTTTTTCTTTTCCATCTAAGCTGTTCCCATCATTTGGGAAGTTTTAGAAGCTCTGCAAGCCCCTAGGATACCAGTCTATGCATCAAAACCATTGTATTTGAAATGATATTTAAGGGACATTGGAAAGGTTTTTTGCAGCCTCCACCTTTTGTCTTGTTCCTGGGGAGCAGTTGTTGTACAGCACAAGAATCTGATGAACAGAAGTTCCCATGATGCATTGAAGGGTTAGTGTTCCCATCTTGCTCTGTTCCTGAAGGCTGGAGTTAATGAGGAAGAGTTTTTATGTGAATGTCAGGCATGTTGCAATAACTAGCCACAATGGAATAGTCATGGCAATTTCCACCACTTGGTTTCTTTGTTTTTGTGATGTTGCTGCATGCTTCATTTTATGAGTATTTTCTTTTCTTATGTGTGGTTGAACCCATCTATTGCCAATCTTGGGCCTGGATACTTGTATTTAAAAGAGATGAACAGAGAGAAACTGGAAAATTGACAGAATGACATATCCTAAACTCTTATTATTTTTCTTCCCCTACTTCTGCTGACAAATATTCTGGTGATTAATATTCTGATGAGTTTGTGTCCCGAGGAGAAGGAAAAGAAAAGAAAAAGTACTGTGGAAACCAGGCTTCTTTTGGTTATGTTAATATCATGGATATAGACCAAACCTAGTAATATTCCCACTGAAATTAGATAAATGAAAACTGCCAACAGTCTTTTAGTTTTGGCTTTCTGGTAAGTCATTTGTGTCCTTGAGGACTTCTATCTTGATCAAAGCATCTACTACCTGATTGCTAATTTATATTGGAGTAGAAACAATAGAATAGAATATAAGGACTTGTGAAATTCTAAAAGTGTCTGGTGGCATCCTCACTCATTTAATTCTTGAGGGTGAAAAATACTCTCAACTATTGTGTGCATTACATACCTAGATTCACAAGATGGAAGTCCTTGCATCTGTGGCAATACATGTGATGAACTACTAAAAGTAGACTTTCTTGTAACAACCTTTTGAGGGCTCTGATCAACACAAGCAGAAGGGATGGTGGGTCAGAGCTTAGGTGGGGTTTAAGGCTGAGGATGTTGAATTCATAAAGTGCCACTTTATAGATGTAACATATGCAGGGAATATACCTCCATTCCTAACTGCCTGTGTTAGGAATTTTATACCCTTCCAACACTTCCATCACCTTCCTCTCTTCCCTGCCTATGCTTGGAAAAGATGCCAAACGCTTCCTTAGTGCTTTACCTATCCAGTTTCGAAGTTGTTATGTGCATCCGATCCCAAATTTCAAAGCAACCCTTTTGCCATTTTTCACTGTGTTATTCTCTCTGTGTTACTACCGGATTTTTTTGTTGTTGTTGTTTATTTATTTTTTTATGACCTGACATCAAATCCTGGCTAAACACTAACATCTTTTCATGTTAAAATAAAAGTCAGTTTAACAAATAAGGCCAGGAAGAAGGCGAAGTGTCTCCCTGATATTACCCTGTTCTGGAATTCTGGAATTCCTCGACTTCTGGCTTACTGGGAGTGTGAGAGAGAGAGAGTGTGTGTGTGTGTGTGTGTGTGTGTGTGTGTGTGTACGCGTCAAGAGGGAGACACAAGCTCAGCCTTCGAATTGGCCAGCCTAGTGACCAGCGAGCCCGCCCCCACTCTTCCCCCTCCCCCTCCGGCGCTCACACTCAGGAAGCAGCTGGCTGCAGGCCGGCCCTCGCGGCCGCACACACATCCACACTCCTCGCCGGGCCGCCTTCCTCCCTCCCTCTTCCCCCTTCCCCTCTCCCTGCAGCCGCGTCCACACTGCGCCGCCCGGGCAGCCCAGAGCGCGGCGCGCACGGGCACCGGCGCCGAGTGCCGCGGCCACTGCCCCTCCCGGGACCCCTTGTAAGCCGTCCGCGGCCGTCCAGGGTCGCACCGGCGACGGAAGCCGCCTGCAGCAATTAGCCAGCATCCCGGGGTCGGCCCCCAGAAGCATTCCCCGGCCCAGGACAAGGATGAACAGGACAGGCGAGGCACAAAGTCGCAACTCAACTTTTTAGAAACATTATTTGCGTGTGTATGTGTGTAGCAGGGGAGAATGAGCTGATGCCGAGGGTCCAGCCGCCCCGCCTCTGCCTCCTCCTCCCCCTGCCGCCGCTGCCCTCGCAGACGCGCGCGCACACACGGCACTTGGGCCGGGTTTCCGCGCTCCGTCCCCCGGCTTGGATGGGGGTTTTCATTTCCGAAGGAGGCAAAGCCCGCGGAGCGCGCTGAAGGGCTGGAGCCCCAAGTTACTCCTCGCCAGGGCTGGCCGCCCGCTGTCACTCGCGCTGGCTGGCCGGCGGAAGGGACCCGCACACCGGGCTTTGTTGTGGAAATCCCGGTTACCTGGTAAGTGGATGCCATAGGAACTTTGCTCGCAGGCGAGAGACGGGGAGAAACCGGGCGCTTGAGAGTGTGGGGGAGTTAAAGCTCAGAGACGCAAACTAGGGATTAGAAATAGTTTTCCACGCTGAGCCGGTGGCGTTCGCGCGGGTTTAAGGATACGCGCACCCCAATCCCCAGAGTCATAGGTCACTGAGAGACCTGCGCTTACGGAGACTGATAGCAACAATTAGGGTTCAAACAGTGTTCCTGTCAGTGGCCTAAGAGCGCCCAATGTAGAAGACAGAAAGATCAACAGGGTTTTAAAGTTTCGCTAATTAGGAACAGTTTTTGTTTTTTCATTTTAAGTAGAGGGGGCAGAGGGGTACACAATCAGGGCAAGTTGCAGGGCGGACGGGCGTGGGGCACGCCACTCCAGAGCCCCCACTGAAGGGAAACTTTGGCGAAGTGGGAATTGATGGGGTGACGTGAGGTCTCTCGCGCACACACGGGGCAGTAGTTGTATTTTCAAGTTCCACGTGTTTGTGGAGCTTCACGAAGACTGTTGTCCACGCCTGTGTCTCATCCAAGCCGGTGTCCCTATGATTGCAAGAGGTGGTCGGGTTGAGGGTACCTACACTCCTCGCCGGTACCGGCCCGGCGACCCGCAGCCGCCGGGTCTATAACTATAACCTCCCACGCCGCCAGTGCGCAGACACAGCCAGACACGAAACTCCCCCCGCCGGGTTCGTCACCTCGCGTTTACATTTTATGGGGCCCGACAAAATGTCAGCACTGTTTGGAAAATGTCTCAGTCTCGGAGACTTTGTCCTGCGCACGGCTCCAGTCCCTATAAATGACCCTGTGTGTATTTTGAAGTCGGCCCGGGTCGCTCTCTGGAAAGCGTGAGTGAGCTGCCGGCTCTCTCCTAGACACACACCTTGCCCCGAGCGACAGTTCCAAGTTACTCACTGGAGCTGACAAGTCACCTCGGGGACAAGGAAGTCACCCAAGTGTCTGGAAATCTTGGCCCTGACTGATTTGTCATCCTATGGATGATTCAATTAGGTACCTGGCGGGAGAAACTTTGGGGAAGGGTTTCTGGCTCCGCGTTCGCGCCCTCCGACTTGTTGGAGGTGTTTGGGAGGCGAGAAGCGAAGGGAAACCACAGGCTTAGGACACTGGCTTGGCGGGGGCCGGTGGCCAGCGTGCGGGGGCTGTGAGCCCGGCCATGGCTACTCCGGGCTACAAGCTCCGGCCGGGCCGGGCAGCGCACGCGGGTCCCGGCCGCCCGGGCTTCCCAGCCGCTGCGCCCTTTCGGCCCCCGACTTACTCAGGAGCGGGTTGCACAACAGGAAGCCGGCACTAGTTTGTTTTGTTTTGCTGCGTTCGCTCGCTCGCTCGCGCACAGGGCCGAGGGTTAGGGGCGGAGGCGGCGGGGGAGTGACGGGGTCGCAGCCGCGCGCACCCCGCCGGGCGCTGTCGCCTCCGCCTCCGGACCCGCCCCTAGTTCCGCGCCAAGGAACCTGGATTTCCGACCCCGGCAGCGAAGCTAGTGGGATAGGGAACCGATAAGGGCTGCCCTCCTCCTGCCTTGTCCCACGCGCCTCTCCCCCGCCTGGCGGGCTCCCGGCATCTCTCCCGACTTCTCCTGCCCTCCTCTTGGCAGGAGCGGTCTCGAGGACTGAGGTCTCCGTCCCCCTGCTCTGTGTGCCTCCTTGAGCCCCCCGCTAGTCTGCCCTGGTATAAGCTTGGCCCTCATTTCTGGAGCATCTAAACCCGGGGCAGGGGTAGGGAGCTACTTCCGGAATCGCAAGGAGCAGGGTCCATAGAGACAGGACGCGTGCAGTCGCGGCCCCGTTTCACAGAGAGGCCGGCAGAACCACCTTCCTCGAGGACTTCAGCATCTCCGGAGAGCTGGGGCCCCGGGGCCCTGGAGTTTGTGAGAAGGAAGTTCTGCAGCTCCCCCCAGTGGACCAGTTCCCGTTAGTATGGGACCCGGAATCTCAAGGATAGACTATTAAAGCTAGAGTGGACCTTGGAGTCACCTACTGATGAGGAAACCGAGCCTCAGAGACGTTAAAGGTTTTGCCCAAGACCTCACAGCCAGCTGTTACAGACCCAGGACAAACCCTTAAAGTTCTGTTACCAGTTAAGAGACCATTTCTTGGCTCGAAGATGAACTCAAGACAAATGCAAAGTCTGGTTCTGTCCCTTCTGAAAGCTTTGATGAGTCATGATTTCTACCTTGGGAGTTAGCCAGACGTGTCTGTTTCCCCCTCTGTCTTGTTTCTCACTGGCCCTCCCTTTTTAGACTAAACCTTTTTTTTTTTTTTTTGGTATAAAATCGATTTGTGTTGGTTTAAACCTTCCTATTTCTTCTGTCTCCTCCTAGTTTGCTTCCAGTGGTTCTGTGCGAAGCAGGTGCAACCTGCAAAGGTTTGCAGAAAAAGAATCCACCACGATGAAGGTCGTTTTGAGAAAGTTTGAAGCAATTTAGACAGGAGAGTGTTACATTATGTGCATTTTTTTTTTTCAATTGAGAACAAGCTAAAGTGTAAGGATCATCTATAACCGTACTGCAGTTTTCATATATTTTCACTAGTTGTCTGTGAAGCCAGACTAGCTCTGACGTTACTTTTGAGAGGAAGGGTAGGGGGCATTTTTTCCACTATTTTCAAAATACCTTTCCTTATTGGTAGTTTGTTAATTTCTTTCTTTTCTTGCCCAGAAGACTGAGTAATCCTTGAGTATGAGTAGATCAATTTAACTGCTGCTGTTAACTTCTCCCCTTGGGTCACCTTAGGCCAGTTTGGGGACAGCATCTTTAATCCCCTAATTCCACTGAAGTTCCTTAGTAGTAGGCAGGTTATCAGAGGTTGAATACCTAGGGTTTGTTGGTTTGCTTGGAAGAAGTGATCATTGCTTCAAATAATGCAATCTTTATTGGGGTGGTGGATGAACTCCAAGGTCCACCTAGTGGGTGAAATTCCTACTGAGCTAAAATAGGCTGGGTAGGGGAGGTTAAATAATAGCCAGAAAATGTTTTGTATCAGCCCTGCCTTCATTTATGCAGGAGAAAGTGGTCTTTCTGCCATTTCAGAAGACAGCTCAGTGTTCTCGGTCTTTTTTTTTTTTTTTTCTCTGACTGTTCTTTCCTCCTAGTACATTAAGCCCAAGGACGTTTATTCTTTCCACTGTTGTCGCTCTCATATCATAATTATTGATCTTTGGAGTTGGAGTGTTAATTTACTCTTCTCCCAGATTATAGAAGATGTACTTCTGGAAGGAGATAACTGAGAAAGTGGCATCACGTGCACATTTCTCATCTCTGGAGAAGTCATTTTCTGTGTTTCTGTGATTATTATTTTCTGTAGGGGGCATTATATTGTAAATAAGGTGGAAATACAGGACTTAACTGTTTTACTTTTCCCTAAGTTTGGTTGGTTTATAGACTGTATCAGGACTGCAGAAAAAAGACACAGGAAATCTGTGTGATAAAAAAACTTGTTGCCATTCTCATTCAAGGAAGATCACACATAACAAAACCTTTGAAATGACATTGATACATAGTTTGATTAAAAGATGCCCAAGTCCCCAGCTTTTGTAGTTTCCCACTTACTTGAGGCAGAGTTGACACAAAAGCCAAATTTTCTATTGAGATAAAATAAGATATCCTTATGGAAAAGCACAATTATCTTAAGCTTGATGCATTTTTTTGCAACACACCCACATAACTAGCCTCCAGATCAAGAAACAGAGCATTATCAACACACCAGAAACATCTCTCACACTCCATTCCAGTTACCACCTCTGCCTAAGGTAACCACTGCCCTGGTTTCTAACAGATAGATTAGTTTTGTCTGTTTTTAAAAAAATATCTTATGTAAATGGAATAATTCAATATGCACTCTTGGGTCTGGCTTCTTTCGCTCAACACAACAACCTTTTATTAGGTCAAATAATTTGGACTCCCCCTTTAAAGATGATGGAAACAGTCTGGCTTGCAGAAATTAGTGAGGCATTACTTAATATGATAGAATTAAGGAAAAACACTAACCAAACTGAAGCCATATTTATATTCTGATGACAGTCTGGTTAGGGAGACCAAACAGACACAAGTGAAATGTCTAATGTGACACCAGTGTAGGTGAGCAGGAAAATTCAGAGGAGTTCCTTCCACTAAGGCAACCCAGAGTGTATTTCACAGTCCCTTGGTGAGGGGCAGCAACCCCCATAATAATAAAAAAAAAGTGCCTGGTTTCAGCACTGAACTGTTCATTTGCAACTTTTAGCTGGGATTTTTCATTGTTCACCAGTAGGCCAAGATAAAGGCAAGAATAAAATGCCTACCCAGAAAAGTGGAATAGAATTTTTGTGCTGCTTTTTCCTAGTAGAGAAAGGAATAGACTAGGAAACTTGCAACTGTAATTAAACTGGTTCCATAAGCCATGGGATTCATGATTATGGTCACACCTCACTTGTATTTATTCAGGCAATAAATTATAGATGTGGGGTATAATTGTGTATTTCACTTATGCCGCGTTTTTCAGTGTGAAACATCAGTGTACAGAATGAACAATGTAAATAGAATAAATGTATGTGAATATATAGATGTAGCATAAATATATGATAAATGTATGGTGAAAAATAGAAATACATAGGTGTAAAACAATCTATGTACATGTAAGGGCTGGGGAAAGTTCAAAGATAAACTATCTGTAACCCCAGAACTCAATAAAATTAGAATTTAGACAGGGAAATGAAACACGGGCAAATAACTGTAATGCAGTGTAGAAAGTTATGAATGTTGAAAGAGAGGTGTGTAGAGTAAAATAACATTTATTGGGTCCTTTCATGTACTGAACAGTGTGCTAAGCATGTGATGTGGATTCTCATTTATTATTCTGTAATTTTTTTTTTTTTCGAGACATAGTTTCACTCTTGCTGCCCAGGCTGTAGTACAATGGCACAATCTCGGCTTACTGCAACCTCCCCCTCCCGGGTTCAAGTGATTCTCCTGCCCCAGCCTCCCAAGTAGTTGGGATTACAGCCATGTGCCACCATGCCCGGCTAATTTTGTATTTTTAGTAGAGATAGGGATTTCACCATGTTGGTCAGGCTGGTCTGGAACTCCTGACCTCAGGTGATCCACCTACCTTGGCCTCCCAAAGTACTGGGATTACAGGTGTGAGCCACCGTGCCTGGCCTGCTATTCTGTAATGCTGTGAACTATGCACAGTAGCATTACATTATCCCCATTTAACAGGTCAGATTTGTAGAGACTAAAAAAGGATCAAGGAGGGCCTAAAGTGGGTATTTGGAGTGGGCTTAGAGGGTAAGTAGGATCTGGATTTGGGGGAAAAGAGAGCAAAATAAAGGAGGAGAGGAAAGACCATCTAGCTGGACTCTAAGGCAATTTGTAGAATTAACAGAAACAAAGATGCAATCATGTTCCACTTTGGGAAGAAAATCAAGGAATTTGTAAAACTTGAATTATGAGGTTCTCAGTAGCTGAGGGCAGACTTGAGTCAAGGAAAGCTGGTGGGCCAGTCTTGTCTGACGTGATCTCTTCAAAGCCAGGAACAAGAATGACTACACGTTCCTTCAGGTGCAGCAAGCCTTGCTGAACTGCAAATGGGCAGATGATGTCACAGTGCAAGATCGTAACCTGTCCTATGCTCCATAATAAGGAGATCAGACTTTCTGAATATCAGTGATTTCTAAAGTTCTAAGCCAGCTCCATCAAATTTCTTTTGTAGGCCTGCTGAATATTGTACACAGAAAACCAACCAGATGCTAGGGCTAGTTATGAATTCTTGTTATTCTTGTGTGTGAAGAAATGGATTAATGTTTTCCCAACCTTTTCAGCATGACCGATAGATTCCACTTCTGTCTGTAACTTGGCTGAGTCATTCACAGAGGTTTTCAAAAAATCTTTTTAATAAATATGTTGTCATGTTGGTTAAGGGCCTAGTCATTGTTGTGGACGTTCATACTTCCGCAGTGATGTCAGTGAACATAATTTAACTTCTGTAAAACTGCTGTCTACCAACAGCCAGAAATAGTTACATCGGTCACTTTTAAGCAATAACTATGCTGAAGGAAAAAAACCACTCAGTTACATATGTGATGGGAACACAATAAGATGCCTGAGTATTTGGTTTAGGGAGTGATAAATTTTATTTCTAGAATCTTCCATAGATAAATGTTTGTTACCCTTTTTAAAGGATTGTGATCTTTAGCCTTGCGAATACCTAGTCATGTGGACTGAGTAGTTAGTTATACAGACTAAAGGATAATGAATGCCCTTTTCATTTGCCACATTTTATTCCCTATGTACCCTCTTGTGTGAGGATGGGCTTTTTTTTTTTTTTCTTGAAAGAAAAATCTCCAGCCAGTTATTTTACTTTTATATTTCTGAAGAAGAAGCCTTTGTGTCTCAAACCCTGGCCATGTGCTGTTCACTCTTTGCAATTCAGGTAATTAATTCAGCAGTGACATCATCGGGAATGTGTTCATTTTTCCATTTCACATTCCTCTTTTCAGAATCTCATGGCTAACTCATATTAAGAACACATTTTGAAAGACTCAGTTCTCAAAGACATTGTGTGTTAATTTAAACTTTACCCACTTTAGTAGTGTAAGAGGGGGTTTTTATTCCAGGGAAAGTTACCTGTCCACTGTAATGAAGAAGATCCAAAATTTTTGGTAATTTTGATCCTGATTCTGTCAGTTGGTTGATCAATTATTACTTATTGAGCACAATTGATCAATTGATATTTACTGCACAGTGAAAGATAGCAGTGGTAGGAATGAAGGTTTGTATCATTGAATCCTTATGTTTTATAAAGCCAAAAATGTCAAACCCTTAAATCTTTTCTGTTCTTCATTCCAGCTATATTTTATTATTTATTTTACTTTGACTGTTCAACTCTGTCTCTACCTCCAGCTGTTCTTGGTAAGTACTTGGGTAGACAAATAGTCCAAATAGTCCACTGCTTTTTAACAGTGACTTTTATGCTGTTTTGACTGTGACTCACCCTACAATTTATTTTTTGTCTTACCCAGAAGACGTGTATGCATACAAATGGGCAGATAGGTATACCTACAAATAACTGAAGTAAAACAGATACTTCACCATTAATACATTTGATGTACTCCAATAGCTTCTATTTTATTCTAGTAGTCCTATTTCATTAAATAATGCTTTCTCTGTTGAATAATTAATTTCATGGACCACCAGTGAATTGCAATCCAGTTTGAAAAACACTACTTTAAAATGAATACTTCATTGAACGTAGATGTAGGAACTTATAGTCTATGGGCCTAAGACATGGTACTTTCTGAACCTATTTATGTTTTTCTTAAAAATCTTTTTGGTTCCAAGTTCATTTTCATTTTGTGTGATTTCTTATAGCTGACCGAGAAAATTCCTAATTTTCCTCTTCTCCCTTGCCATTTTTGGTAGGACCATGGCTCTCTAGACCTTTCTGTACTCATTGATGAGTTAATGACTGGGGCAAAGTAAATGAAACACTTCTAAGTAATTACTACTGAAAGTAGTGACATTTAGTAAACTAGGAGGATATGAAAGTTATATAGATGCACTGAAGAGTGGAAAGTAGATTCTAAGAGAGGTTATTGAACTTTTAATACTGCCCTCCAGCAGTATATTCCTGAAGGTCCTGAATTTCCTTCAGCAATCTGTAGCCGCTATCATTGTATGGAAGGCTCTCAGTGCTGCTTCTGATTTTTAAATGAGAATTGACTAAGAGTATAAATTCCTGAATTGGATGTGGTCATTCTTTTTTTCCTACTCCCTTCCTTTTCTCTCCTTTCTTTCTTTCCTCTGTGTCCTGTTCATATTTACTACTCATATTTTGAATGTCATAGCCATTAATTTACATTTAAAGTGATATGGCCAGTCCTTTCACTCTATAAACTTAGAAAATATTATTTTAATTTTTGAGAACATTTTATAAAATATAAAAATGAAAAGTTAAGACATTTATATCTCTAATTAGATAGCAAAGGGTTTGAATTCACAGATAAAACAAAGTCAGAGTTTCTATTAGGTGAGCTCCCTCATGTTCATTACATTATCTTTTCTGAATGGTCTTTGGAAGAATGGTCTTGAAGAATCTCTGCAGAGGACACTAAATTGTATTCATATTTTTCAATTGGTATAACTCATAAGTGAAACCTCTTTTATTTCATCTTGTTGGTGATTATATTGCTTAAGTAACATTTGTACATCTTGGTGTTCAGAATAAATATATTCATTTTCTTAGAATTACAACGTTAGGCCTTGGGAGTACCCAAGTGAATAGGTCTGCACATACTAGTTATTAGGTGTAACCTCCCTAACTTTCTCCTCCACATTTCAATAATGAGGAATTATCTCAGTTATGTTTCTGTGTAACTTCCGTTGTAAATTCTATGAATTTGTTAGTTTCATGAATAAAGTTATGGAACCACAGAAATGATCAAACTCTACCTTGTTATGGGTTATCATATCATGATATAGTATCCTCCAGTTTCAATTTGGAGAAATAATATTGTACACATCCAATATATTTCCTCTATAATATCCTCCAGTTTCACAGGCACATGTTTGCACTTTCCTCTTGTTAAAATTGCAGACAAGAATAATTTTGATTTATTGGTGACATCTAATATAGCTGTGTTTATATTGTTGCCAATAAAAAGACTTACATGATTGGTTTTTGTTTATACAATCTTTTCTGAGGAGTCAGTCACCTGTGTTAGGACAAGGTACATTCTGCTTATTTAAATGAACTCCTAGGATCTAAGAACATTCAGCTCTATCTGTCCTTGATTGAATTGCAAAATGTGCTTCACACTGCAGCCGTGCATGAGAATAACTTATATTATCTATCAGTAGGCTTTTCGTTTCTATATTCTTCTGGCTACAAAAGCTGTAACAAGAGAAGCCCATGGGAATAGCACGGGCCTATTAACAATCAAGGCAGCGATGTTGAAAAGGCGGCATTAATGAAATTATACAGTCATGAACCCGAAGGGAAAAAATAAAAAGGATCAATAAAAACTCTTATTGTAGATAGCTTAGACAGATATATAAGAAGTAGAGTCAGAAGCAGTTTGTTTGCTGGCCAGTATTTTGTGCCTCATTATCGGGTTTTCTATGCAGAGTAAGAAGTGCTTGTGGCATAAGAAATGGAAAATGTAACAAAGGCTAAATGTAGCCTAAGGAAATGAAATGATGTATGAAAATTAATAATTAACTGGCTCATCAGATGAATTATGACTCTAGATGAGTCTATTAATGATATTTACTAAGAAAGGGCCTTTGGCTGTAAATAGGCATTATGGAAGTCATGTTCTTGAAATTTTCTGGAATGGATGAGTTAACATTGCTTTTCGTTTGTTTAATCTTTTAATCCATGACAAGCAGTGCCTGGAGCCTTGGGTAGAAGGTAGAGTCATGATTTTATATTTTGATTGAAGTCATGCTTTTTCAGAAAACTCATGGAATTACTAAATGGTTTTGTGCCTTAGTTTCCTTAGGGGTTAAGTAATTTTCTCTCTGACCTGATTTACAGAAGTGTGTTTGAAGAGTTTGAAAGTGGTCAAAAGGGAAGATTTATTAACTTTCATGCTGACTCATATTAGCAGAATTAACATTTTCCTTGTAGGAACCAATGTAGTATTAAAACTCTAAATATGTCACTATGTCAGATCCGAAATATCCTAAATTTTTACCTCTGGACGCTCCTTGCTTTTTCTTCTTCTTGTTTCTTTTGTTTTTGTTGTTGGTAGCCTGGGGGAGAGTAGTTGGATGGAGAACAGAGGAGAAAATGCTGACTAGAATATTGTGATTGGATTTTTAACTAGAAAGGTGCTCTTCCAATGGAATCCCATCAGTTAAGTTTTCGACACTGATTAGTTGTGATTTTACCTTTTTGACAAAATGTATTCTTCATGGTTAGCATTACCATAGACGCATTGCTGATGGGCAAGCCTTTGTATCAGCTTTCACTTTGATGGGGGTAGTAGAGAATGCTATTGTTTTTTGCTTCCATGTCTACCCTCCAGATTTAAATGCCATAAGTATAAAATCTACATATTTATTCTTGAGTATAGCAAATGGGTGTTCTTGATAGTCTTTTCTAAATTGCCTGGAATAACAGAATTTCAAGAGACCATAGTGAATAGATCCAAATTTCTCAAACTTTTATGGATGAAAAACTGTAAGTCCAGAGAAGTTATAAATGATTTGTCAGAAGTAGAACCCGGGTATCTTGACTTTTTGAGTGCCATTTCACTCAGACTCTATGAGGGCTTTTCTTAAAAGTTATAATAGCATTTTATCCCTTTTTTCTTACCAAGTGCCTTAGAATTATATCTTGATCATATGGCCTAGCTAAAAAGTATGCAAAATATTATATAAATAGATGAAATTTATTTTTACATTCTAATACCTAATGTTTGAGAAATCTGTTGGCATAATTAATGTGAAAAGTGGAATATTAGCCATATTTTCATGTTTAGTTTCTTTTATTTTTGTCTTGAGGCTGGTTTTGCTCAGCTCACATGCCATTGGCCTGTTGGTTTTTCTTTATGGTATTAATCACTTTACTTTCTGGCTGTTGCTTTCTTAGTAATAAAATTTAAGTACATTTTGTTGTTGTTCTTACTTTCAAACTAAAACTATTTAAAACAGGAGTGTAGTTTATAAAAAAAAATGAAATAAATATTCATTGCAAGACAGGCAGGTGTGAATGCCTGATACTTAATTAAGTTCTCAGTGCTCTAATTATTTTTCCTTCTTGCAAACTCACCTTCTTAATGATCATGCCTAATGCTAAGTACCTCCTTATGTGTTTTTATCCAGGTTTTTGATGAGAATTCCTGCTCGTATATGATCTTGCTGCCAAAAAATGACTCCCTTATTTTTAAAAACCTGGAAATGGGCACAGTCTGAAAATCTGCAGACACTTGTCACTTGGACCGTGGTCTTACTGACTTATATTTCCAGTCATGTTGAACAATTCTTTATTTTAAAAAATTGGCTAATATGACATATTTCTTTTGCCTTTTTTTGGCGGGGGGTTTCTGCTGAATAAGTGCTTTCTTCTGCAGGATTCAGAGTGCTCAGAAAACACTATTTTATCAATGAGAGGAAAATAGATGGCCAATTTTATCTGGCAAAGTACAGAGACATTAAATGACTATTGCTCATGATCTACCAATGAATGGATCAGCATACTGACTGGTGACACACAGGAGTTCTCCTACATAAATGTACCATAAAAAGCATTGGAATTTTTCCAGTGTAAGAATTGAGGTTATCTGGTCACTCCTGCTTTGTACTCATGGGAGAAGAGGGCAGGAGTGAGACCTGACCTAGAGGAATATAGTTGAGTGTTTTCCAGGACTAGATGGTATGATAGTATTAAATGTCACAAACTGATGTAATTCTTAGTGAAAATAGAGAATTACTAAGAATGAAGAAAACATTCTAAATTTTGTATTGTTAATTACTTTTGAATTTCCTCAACATAGACACACACAGGAAACTTTGCAGAAGGCATAGTGCTTGAGTTAAAATTAGATATTTTTGATTTTCTAAAAATAAAAAGAAAAATGAACTCTTCACAAAAAGTTTTTCTCCTTGATAGCCTTTTCTTGATTATTTATGGAGTAATTTATTTGGAAGTTGAGCTGAAAAATGTTTGTTCAACACTTTGAGTGGATCATACACAAAAAGTAAGAATCATCTATTTGAGGATATCTGATCACTCCTGCTTTGTACTCAGTCCTTATTTCCTGTGTTTGTCGAGCTTTGGCTTCTTTCCATGACTGTCATCTCTAAAAGACAGATTGTGACAGTGTCTATAATACATTTGGTGTAGTGGCACAACCATGGCACTTTACCACCTCACTGCATACATTTTGGGGAGCTATTGGTCAAGGGAGGGAAGGGCCTTCTTCAGTAATTTACAACCCGGCGTCATCACGTGGGTGGGTGATGACATCCTGCTATCATGTTCAGTACTTCTCTTGGTTCTTGTTCTGCTTCCTTAATGTTAGGAAGCTTTATGGAACTATGGTAGATTTACTGAGTGTCATGCATCATGTACATACTGGACAGGTCACTTTTAGAAGGGACATTCTCTCCTTATGCTCCCCGTATGGCGTTTTGCACACCCCTTCTCTTTTCTAGGATTTTAGTAGAAGGTTACAGTATCGTGGTGTTGATTCTCTTCCAATCTCCATGTCTCAGGATCATTATAGAACCAATACCCTAATGCTGCCATGTATATTTGAATATATGGATATATGAAAATTTTGTGGTATTCCCAGGCCTAGGTGTTTATCTTTTTCGAATCTAGGGACTATGAAAAGATAGCTCTTAAAGTGAAAATCAGAGATGGTTTAGTGTCCCCATAGTCTCATTTAGAAGCCATGTCTGCTTTGTGGTTGTTTACTGGAACTTTGAAGCATTGGTCTCACAGCTCATATAGGTGGTGCTTTTGGGTTTCCCAAGACCTGCTGTAGCAAAAATGAACTAGTATGGAAAGATCCTCCAGGGAGCAAAATAAATTTTGTTTTGCAAGCTGGCACCAGTAGATTGTTGTAGTTGCCAAGAGCGCTGTATTGAGAAGGGCTCAGTGGCAAACAAAACAATGCAGTGGTCCATAATCCATGTCCACCGTGAATGCAGAAGGGGAGAGTGCCTGCCAATGAGCCATGTATTTGAGGACCCTGTTCTACATAAAAGGCCATCTTGCTAAGAGTGCTTCTTTTCTTCCTGATATGAATGATATACAGGTTGAAAAACTCACCATATCTTATTTTCATTTTTGCTTTTAAAAATGCCTGCATTTATTTTTTTAAACAGGCTTATAACCCACACCATGGATAACTTATTGGACTTTGCCTGAAAGGAGTCATTAGTGACATTGGATATTTGACCATCTTGGCCACAGGTTTTTCAGAATGAATGGAAGATCATGCAGCATGAGTCTCCACCGGACATCGGGAACCCCACAGGGGCCTAGGATGGTCAGTGGCCACCACATTCCTGCCATCCGAGCCCACTCCGGGACTCCTGGCCCCTCGCCCTGTGGCAGCACATCAAGCCCCACTATGGGAAGCCTTGCTAACAACCTCCATCTCAAGATGCCCTCAGGAGGAGGGATGGCTCCTCAGAACAACGTGGCTGAGAGCCCCATTCATCTGCCTGCCTTAAGCCCCAGGAGACAAATGCTCACCAATGGGAAGCTGCGATTCCAGGTCACCCAGGCTGGAGGCATGTCAGGGTCACATACTTTAAAGCCAAAGCAGCAGGAGTTTGGAAGCCCTTTTCCTCCAAATCCTGGGAAAGGTAGGATTGTTTTTCTGGGACCTTTTAAAAATGGAAACAATTTTTTTCTCCCCCATCCCATTTTCTGCCAGCAAATCCTATGGAAAAATACATGATTCAGTGTCAGGGTCAAAGTTGATGGTCTCATAATGATATATAGCTTGCTCAGTAAGGGAGTGGATGTGTATGTATTGAAGGGGAAGGGACCACAGTGGTAAATGCTGAGTGTGAGACATCTCCTGGGACTGTGAAACAGAGTAACAGTAAGATAGAAAGATAAGAAATAGGGAGGCAGGCTGGGTGGTTGTGGTGGAAGGGTAAATGCTGGTTTAGCAAGATTCTGCCCTCCAGATACATGTAGCTCTGTCCTGGTTCCCTGGGGGCTGAATGCTCCAGGCCATGGACAAGAAGAGTGACTGGAACTGTCTTTATGCCAGTGCTAAAAGTTCAGTGTAGAAGGAAAATGATAAAAAAGGGAGAAATTTTCATAGCCAATAAAATGAAGAATCAGTACATATCAGTGATAAGAAAAATTACTTTAAGAGCAAAACCTATAATTTTTATAATACAGCAAGAGGGAAGCAAGCTAGAAGGGAATAATGAAAAGATGTATTTTGTGCTTGTGGAGAACTAGAAAACCTGGTCAATTTGAAGTGCAGAGAGAATGTGCTTTTAATTCAGTAGCGTTTGAATTACCATATATTTTACATTAAAGAATAATTGTTGGTGAATAGCAAGTTATTTGAATGACACACTATTTCTAGAAATTGATGTTGAATTAATGAGGTTATATTGTAGATGACGTATGTATTTAGAGAAAGAGCATGTACCCCACGTGAAATATAGCTTTGCTGTCTAAAATTGCACAATTATACATTCCTTAAGGTAGTTTTAGCATTCCGTCTTAAATGTTTATGTTAAAAATGCTTACACCACCAAATAGAATTACTAGCAACCTTCAGAATAGCCAGTCATTCAGTTAATTAAGATGAATAATGATTCCTATCAGGCAAGTAGCCAAAAAGTTGTTTGTTTTAGTGTCAGTGTATTTCTGTGTTTGGAGAAATTGGTGTAAATGGGCAGGTTTTAAAAAAACAATAGCACTAAACATACATGCGCCTTTTAAGTTAATTAATTTTTTGAGATAGGATCTCACTTTGTCACCCAGGCTGGAGTACAGTGGCATGATCTTGGCCTCACTGCAGCCTCATCCTCCTGGGTTCAAGTCCCCCAAGTAGCTGGGACCACAGGTGCATCCCACCACGCCTGGCTAATTTTTTTTTTTTTTAGAGACAGGATTTCATTATATTGCCCAGGCTGGTCTCCAACTCCTGAGCTCAAGTGATCTGCCTGCTTTGGCCTCCCAAAGTGCTAGGGTTACAGGCGTGAGCCACTGTGCCCAGCCTTAATTTATTTATTTTTCTTCCTCTTCTTCTTCTTCTTTTTTTTTTTTGGTCTAAATTAGTTTTGAATCATTTTATTTCTTAGAGGTACTGATATTCAGTATAAGTATGGGAAAAAGTTTTCCTGGGGCTACATCCAAAATAGGTTTCTCATTGTCGGGTTGCTATGTCCATGGTGTGGCAAACTAAGTTCCCTCATGTTAAATTTAGGTGTTTAGATTTTCAGGGGCTGAGGCCCGGTAAAACCTTTTAGCTCATGCTTGACTAATGAAGTGTAGCTTGCTTTTATATGTACTTATGTTTGCAATCCTGACTGACAATAATAATGGTGATAATATTAATAACTTGCCTTTATTGTATCATAACAGCATATGTCAGGCACCGTGTTAAGTGCTTTCCAATACATAGTCTCAGTTATTCCTCAAACAGCACTGAGTTGTATGCTATGGTTATTTAACTGATAAGCAAACTAAGGTCTAGAAAGAGTAAGTAACTTCAGAGGCACCAGCCAGTAAGGAGCTTGGGAATACTAACTTTGATGGCAGTCAGAAGTGGCTGTAATTAAAGCCATGTTTTTAAAAAAACCTCACGTGCTTAAGGGCTAGTGAATTCTCAGGGTCAATATACCTTGAAATGCCTGTCAGAGTAGTGCTGCTTCCTGATTCCTTTCCCTGTTGCTTTTTGTTTCCTTGCTCAGCTTCCTAGCTTACAGTGTTCCTCCTGGATCTGCATGGTTGGGACATGCATAGGCACAAATGATGGGTGGAGGACAGCTGTATTATTATCACCTCTAGCTTTGGAGCTTAGATACCATCAGTGGTCTAGATGGTACGAGAAGTGTCTGAATGTATCATTTCTTCCAGGTCTTGGTTGACAATTCCTATACTAAGCCAGTAACTGGTTGAGGGTGGTGATCTAGGATTGTTTGAATTTTGATCATTTACTCTACAAATAATTATTGAGCATATATTGTGGGTGAGCCACTGTTCTGGAGATGCAATAGCCAATAAAGCATAGTCCTTTCCCTCAAGGAGTTGGATAATTCATACAAATAAGTGGCCAGTTAAAATACAGCACAGTAGGTGGGTGCGATGGCTCACGCTTGTAATCCCAGCAGTTTGGGAGGCTGAGGCGGGCAGATCATTTGAAGTCAGGAGTTTGAAGCCAGCCTCGCCAACATGGTGAAACCCCACCTCTACTAAAATTACAAAAATGAGCCGGGTGTGGTGGTGGGTACCTGTAATTGCAGCTACTCGGGAGGCTGAGGCAGGAGAATTGCTTGAGCCCGGGAGGCGGAGGTTGCAGTGAGCAGAGATTGTACTCCAGCCCGGGCAACAGAGCAAGACTCCATCTCAAAACAAAAACAAAAACAAACAAAACAGCACAGTAAGGACTCCAGTAGGGATACACTCAGATTGATATGGCCACATAGAAGGGTTTCTGGCCTGTGCTATATAGGCAGATAACTGGAAGGGGAAGAGCTAGCTTTGCAATCATGCAAAGTGCATGTCCTCTGTGTGTGTGTGTGTATGTGTATGTGTTTGTGTATGTGTGTGTGTGTGAGCACGCATATGTGTGAATTGGGGGGGTTGTCTGGAACTTATTCTGGGAAGGGAGAAAAATGCACTCAAAACCTGGAGGGGAGAAATCCTGGTGCATTTCATGGACTTCCACTTGGTTCCACATGGACAGGGGTACAGAAAACCGTGGTAAGAGATGAAGCTGGAGAGGAATCAGCAGAAGCCAGAGGAAGGGCCATGAATGATGGGCCAAGGAGTTTGGATCCATTTTGAGGACACTGATGGAACATGGGACTCTTGTGGGTTTATTAGTTAGGGTTTTCCAGAGAAATAGACGAATAGGATACATATCTACATGTGTATATTTGTGTGTGTGTGTATATGTATATATAAAGAAATTTGTTATAAGAAATTGGCCCTTGGGATTATGGAGAGTGGTAAGTTCCACGATCTACAGGGAGAGTCAGTCAGTTGGAGACCCAGGGGAGCCAATGGTTTCATTGCAGTCTGAGTCTGAAGGCCTGAGAACCACCAGAACCCATGATGTAGTCCCTGTCTGAAGGCTGGCAGGCTCAAGATCCAGGAAGAGCTGATGTTTCAGTTTGAATTCAAAGGCAAGAAAAAAACCAGTGTCCCAGTTGGAAGGCAATCAGGCAGGAAGAATTTTCTCTTGTCGGGGGCAAGGGTCAACCTTGTTCTATTCAGGACTTCAACTGATTGGCTGAGAATCACCCGCATTAGGGAGTGCAATATGCTTTACTCAGTGTACTGACTAAATGTTAATCTCACCCAAAAACACTCTCATAGAAATGCCCAGAGTAGTGTTGGACCTAATATAGGGGCACCAAGTGGCCCAGTCAATTTGACACATAAATTTTAACCAAAGCAGTATCATTGCTTTGGGGCAAGGTACAGTTTACATGGTAGCTAAGAAAAGGCATTTTCTAAGCTTTAAAAATGATTATAGCAACTCTTAGGGAAGCAGTAGAGCTGTATACGGAGAATTTAAGTTACCTAAGAATTGCTACACAGACAAGCATCTGACTTGAAGACTGAAGAAAAGCTCATGAGAAGTATACATTTGATATTAATGTTTATATTATTTAAAAATTGAGTTCTGCTCAGTTGAAAACTCAAATAACAGTGGCTTTAACATCATGGATTGTGGTTCCCAAACAGTGTATTAAGGTCACTGGAGTGCCACTGTGAACTTGGGGAGTCACAGGGTATTTTAAATTTAGAAGGAAACAGGGATATGTGGTATCCTTTGGACACCGGTCAAACTACTAGGTTGAGGAGGTTGACAGTTTCAACAGTAAATTGCACTATGTTCCTTTTGGTGACGTCATATCTTTGAGAAGCTCCGTTTTCAGGAATTGTAATTTAGAAGAAGCAAGTACTTTTTACACCCATGTCCACGGCAGCATTATTTATGGTAGCCAAAAGGAAGAAGCAACCCAATGTGGTATATACATACAATGGAATATTATTCAGCCTGAAAAAGAAAGGAAGTTCTGACACATGCTACAACATGGATGATCTTTGAGGAAATTATGCTAAATGAAATGTACCAGTCACAAAAGGACACGTATTGTATGATTCCTCTTGTATGAAGTTCCTGGAATGGTCAAACTCATAGAGTCAGAAAGAATGGTGGTTGCTGGGAGTTGGGGAAAAGGGGACATGAGGAGTTAACGTTTTTTGGGTACGGAGTTTCAGTTGGTGAAGATGAAAAAGTTTTGGAGATGGGTAATGGTGATGGTCGCACAATAATGTGAATATACTTAATGCCACCGAACTGTGCATTTAGAAATGACTAAGATGATCACTTTTATGCTGTATACATTTTACCACAATTTTAAAAGAGCAAATACTAAGTGAAATCAACGTGGAACGGGTGATGGTGTCCAATCTGACTCCAAAGTTTGAGAAACATTAGAGTGCACAGTTTAACACACATCCCATTAGTATTTGGGGTTATTTAAGAATGAAATAAAAATACTGTTTTTCTTTTAATTTATTTGTATTATTTTTTCAAACAACTAGTAAGCTGTTAGTACATACGTGTTATTGAGTTGTTTATACCTAACTACTTGAT